TCAACCCACACTCTACCCTTCGCCGTTCAGGTAGCTGCGAAGCGACGGGGGTTTTACACCGAAGTAGAAATAAGTGTTGATGCGGTAGAAGGACGAATGACAATTCATCAGAATGCCGGCGACCGCATACTGTTTACCAAGCCCGCAAGCGCTGAGCGCCACCTACTGCTTCTTGGCATAGCTAGTCAACGTACGGCCAGAGGGCCACGATTTTTCCGAACCCCCATTTGACCGAGANACACTTACAGCCTATCAACCCACACTCTACCCTTCGCCGTTCAGGTAGCTGCGAAGCGACGGGGGTTTTACACCGAAGTAGAAAGAAGTGTTGTTGCGGTAGAAGGACGAGTGACAATTCGTCAGAATGCCGGCGACCGCATACTGTTTACCAAGCCCGCAAGCGCTGAGCGCCACCTACTGCTTCTTGGCATAGCTAGTCAACGTACGGCCAGAGGGCCACGATTTTTCCGAACCCCCATTTGACCGAGACTCTGACGGAGCTCATTGCGGTGTTGAAGGCCTGTTCGAAGGCGTTCAATACCCCCTTGTACGGCGCCAGCAACCAGGGCGAAAGGCTGTACGCAGGGTCGCCGAATACGTAGTAAGGGGTGCCTGCTGCGTCGTTGAACCACTGCTGCAGATCTTGCAGCAGACCACTTTCCCCTACCATGGCGACATCGTGGCGACGCCCGAGTATGGGACCCCAAAGCATGCGAATTATCCCATCGGGGGTGTCGATCGCTTGATACTTCAACGCGTGCTTTCGCTTCCAACCATTGTACCACAATCTCTGATTACGCTTAGGTCGCGAGATCGCGCGAATAGTGCCGTCGACAAAGCCCCTACAACGCGAGAGCGGGGCACCTTCTCATAAATCGCCTGACAGAACATATCTATCTTTGATAGAATTGCATCATGTTGCAGCTGGTTTACCAGGTGACCCCAGCGATCAAAGATCGCTTCGATGGTGAGGTTGAAGATATCGCATATCATCTGTTCCGCTATCCCCCAAAAGAGCCGGTCCCGGATCAGCGTCGTCGGACATGCCAGGCGCCAGATCGTCACCGCCAGCGCAAGGTCGATAGGAACCCTGGAAACTCCAAACCCTCCCCTGTTGACCGAACAGACACAAGGAGCAAAGTCATGTTCCATTGCTGCCGTCAGTTTCGGTGCTATAGGGCGAAAACGGGCGGGGGGAGAAGTACCACGCGTGGTGAACGCATGGAGAGTGCGGTGACTATATGTGCTACACGTGTAGACTGCTGTAGTACAGCAGGTATGACCTCAAAAACACATTTCAAAAATCAATAGTCTAGTCTACTGCTGTATCAACTGCTTCGCTATCATTGATGCTGTCTGAAACTATGTGCACCTCCGTGATACTCAGGACACGGGTATGATTCCTACGTGCTGAGATGAGAAGCCTGTCCACAGCAGTAGCACAACCCCGACGCGCCCTGCCCGTCGCATACAGCAACTACCGCAGAGTTCTCAAACGCACACGACTCCGACTGACCTGTGAACTTCGATCGCCTCAGGGAGCTGCAGCTCGTGCAGCAGCTCGCGGAAGTGAGGCTTCTCGAACCTAAAGAGCTCCTTAAAGTCCAAGCCTCCAATTGCATCGAAGAAATTGTACATCGGGCACACACCCTCCAGGATCGTTGGGGCTATCAGTTCTTCATACGCCTCCAGCTTTGCTAGGCCAAACATGGCCATCACGAGGAACATGTCCTCCTCTCCAGCTATTAGACTAATAGCGCACACAACACAGCAAGCAGAAGAACCAGCATGCACTCATCATACCGCTCGTAGCGGATTCTGCCTCGCGCAAGGCGCGCCATCCCCTCGCTCCGTGTCGGGTGCGGTGATGAGGGAGCGCGACCGTTGGGTTTCCCGGCGGTGCAGCGATGCAGCTGGGGTTGAATTTTTTTTAACTTGAGGCTGCGCCGCTGCTGGCCTTCGCCAGGCAACGTGCGGCGGAATATTTTTTCGTGTCAATTTACCAACCGGTACCTATTTTCGTGTCAATTTGCCAACCGTCACTTTTTTTCGTGTCAATCTGTCTCAGTCCAAAAGCTACCAAACTGATTTGTTGAGCCTGTTACCCACAGGGGAGATGTCCCTATATGCTGTCTGGGACATCGTAGACACACAGGTAGTTTTCTCTGACGCTATGATTCCATTGTTAATCTGTCTCTGACTCTTTTCTATCATAGAGATGGACTCGATGTGTCATATTATTATTAAGAAAAAAAAAAAAAACGTGTCAATTTATCGTGGGAACCCAGGAATAGTAAATATTGTCGCAGGTGCGAATCTCGCCGAACAAGCACTTTCAAGTGATCAGCGCAATGTTTTGCGAACACACACGAACCCAGGGTATGATTGTAGCTTTATCGCAATAAATATCGAAAGCAAGCTCTACCGGGAAAGTGCAGAATCCCTCCTGTGTGACGTGAGCCCGTACTGCAATAACTCGTAGATATCTCGTGAGAAAATATTTTGTTCTCGAGATTCACGGAACATACGCATCGATTGCATAGCGCCTGCACCTCGTATCCTTACCAGCGACTTCCCATCCCGATCGAACAGGAAAAGTTAAAGTGTGCTGAGGTCGGCGATTTGGAACACTGTCCCCAACTGGAGCGCGACAGGGAAATGCGAATGCAGTTGGCCACGCAAGACAATGCAGGGGCCACAGTCACGATGCTTGCCGCACGCAAAGGGAATGTTGCCATCCTCTCCGCGGTATTGGCGGAGGTTCAGCACACCCACGTGAGATCGGCACCTGTAGCCTCTTCAGGTTAAGGAATGCAACGAGTACGAGGCGGTGTTTGCAGTGTACACCTTCTCTGCTTTCAGAGCCCCTTTTGGCAGCTGCGTCTTTGTCGATTCCTCACTAAGCATAAAAAGGGCATCACACCTCTCATTATGATTGGGAATCCGTCCTTCCTCAGGCAAAGCATTCGCTGGAAGCGAGCGATTTCGAAGGGAGAACGTTGCTATTGTATGCAGGGATTAGCGGCAGCGCTCCAGTTTTTCGAGCGGTTCTTCATGCTATTGAGGTGGCATTTAGGGCCGACGAAGGGGTAAGCAGTACAAAGAGTACATTGCACAAGGTTTTCTGGAGAACATAAAACGATTTTCAAACGAAAGAAACCCCTGAAACCATCGTCTACAGTTACACACAATTTTTTATTGTTCTTTGACTTGTTAGCTTTAGCAAGCTGCATTTTTCCTGGCGAGCCTGATGAAAAGTACCACGGAGAGATCAAAATTTCGACCGCGCCGCGATCGCGGTTGATTACACGACCGAAAGCGTCACCATTGCCCATCACTGTCGTCCTTCCCCAGTCTTGGCGCATTGAAGAATCACTATTTGTGGCCCGTTTCCAGTTCCTCGTGTGAAGGAGGGAGGGGTAAGGCGGGAAAATCCTACGATTATGGCATTCATTCCGCTCTATTGGTGTGCCTTCGCCAAAATGCGCAGGGTCACCGTACGCTGATTCACTCTTGCCCATGACCTTGTAGTACACGGAACTGAGAAGACAACAAGGAAATCTAGCACACACACTGTCTAGGCAGCATGGAACGATGCAATTGATGTCATGGAGCCGAAAGGAGGACGGTTGCAAAGTACTAGCCTCGTACCCCGCCAGACACGGGATAAATGTCCTACGTCATGCTGAAGCAATATCATCCAACAAATAGCAAGCATACTATTCGTACCGTTTCTGCACCGTTACCAGGGCGTCGGAATTTACCTGACCAGACAGTCCGACGATGGCAGAAACATACTGATGCACAGCGCCCGAGCTGGAAGCGCCATGACCTTGAGGACCGTGGCGAACACCGTCAAACGAGTGTGCGACCCACAGACGGTGAGTACCTCCTTCCCTCGAGATTCGGCCGGCGCTCCACGAAGGCTGCGCAAGGGCGCGCGATTTTCGCAACTGCTTCACGAGCGTTCATTCTTATCCGGCGTAGATTCGCACTCACGAGGTTGGGCTCTGTCATGCGAAAAGGAGTCATCGTACATTCAATGTATTGCGCATGCCGTGCCTCCGGTACGATCGATGTTGGACTTTGCTATGTACCTGTCACCGTTGGCGCTGGACCATCCTGAATGCTTTCCCCCGCTTCGTTGGTGACACTGCGCGCCCAACACGGCATTTCCGCTACAATTCAGGTGCGGCACCTGCTCTATCAAACGGACGCCGAGGGTCTGAACTTCCTCATGCACAGTGTCGCCTGCCGAGCGTGCCAACCGGCATCAGTCCGAGGTATGCAGGAACGTTCTATTCGTGAATCGTGTCTTTGTATTGGTTGACAAGACTTTATATCCTTCATCCCGTATTATTGTTTCGGGGCTAAACCGTTTCTCGCCTTCACACCAACTGCACCTACCATTGCCTGTGTTAGGTGGCGAGAATCTTGGTGTGTCTTCTAGCGGGAGTGCTTTACCGGGAGCGAGTGAGGATAACGTTCACCTCAAACGTTCAAGCTCCATCGGGGAGTCGAGCATTCTGGGGCTAGGGACCGACGTCGTGCTACCACCCGACCCCGCTGTCCCCTTGTTCAACGTTGCCTTTGAATTTGTGCAGAGCTCTCTTTGGAAAGCACAGGTGCGGGTAGGATTTGAGCTGACCGCTTGTCTCGCCACACGACAGAAGCTATGTTCCGTTGCTCCGCGGTCGTGTTCTCGGGAGGTTCATCAGGACTGGATCATTCATCTTGCTCGGACTAGATCACGAACGAACTCAGTGCTATGTGTACAATGAAACAAAGAAAAAGTGCAACTACTTCCGAAAGTCGAAGATGGACATGATTACCCCTAGTGCAGATCCGAGATGAAGGCGTGAAGACATGAACGGACCTGCTTATTTTGCTCCCTCCCTCATTCCCCGGTGTTTGCCATCAGGGCTGGGTTTTCGTCGCTTGGCAACGACGTTGTAAAACAAGCCAATTCACTTCGTGAACTCGGCAACCAGGTTACCGTTTTTTGTTTTCCTCTTTTTTTTTTTTGGCGGTAACCATAGTGGTGGTCAAGTAGATCATGTTGTGCGGGGTGGAGAACCCTCACTCCGCGCAAAGGGGATGATCGCACCACGTTGTGTTAAAATGGTCAAGCACCCTGGAGGCAGTTACACAGTGCTTACAACTGTCTCTGGAAGTGAAAGCACCAGAAAATAAATTAACTCATACGCAGCTGTCATCCATACGCAAGAAAGTGAGCACAAGATGCCCAACACCCTTAGCAGGATGCAGCGCACCCTTCATGCGACTCGCCGAATACCTCACGGCGCTTCGCGCTTAGTGATGTGAGAGCCTGGTCCGGTGAGAACCCGGCGTGCTCCGTACAGGCTTTGTAGGGATGCGAGGTCAATGGTCTAACGACTACGGCATGCACGACTATGAGTATGAGTACACCCCTCATTCCCCGATCCCCTCGTGTGCACGTCTTTCTACGCGCCCCAGCTTCGAGATCATCTGACAGCGACAGACCTATCCGGAAGGACGCTTCTGGCGCACTCGATCCGATCGAAACACTGCCAATTGTTTGAAGCCGCCCTTCGAGCCATTCGCAAGCATGTGTTGGACGCAGAGGTGATTATCAGTGGCTAGGAACGATGGTCGTGGCTTAGGTATTCGGCAGAGTTCCTCGGCCGTTGACGATATCGAGGCCATCCAACGACTCGAAGAAATGTGTGCCTTCACGGAACACTTTGTACGGTACCAATTGGTGGTGGCTACGAAAATAGCCTATAATAGTACACCTTAATATGCGGCTTCAACACATACTGCGATTCCCTCCCGTCTATCAGGTGTTAGAAATGCTTGAAACAACGGAGGACGAGCTGGATCACACACCACTCCGGTCGGCCCTCGTAGAAGGGGGCAAGGAAATGCAGAACAGATTCGAGAAACGACGGCACCATCTGAAGGCGAGGAATATTGTCGCGATGGCGGTCTTCCACGGCAATAATCAAAGACTGCAGACGTTCGCCTCTTGCCTCTAACGTGTTGAAAAGAGGAACAAAAACAACGAGGTCGTCCATGACCAACCTGTCTGCGAACGACTTGGTTTGTGCTGACTGATTCCTCTCTCTTGCAAGGGTTCCAGGGCTGAGACTGGGGGGCACTGTTGGCATGACGATCATGTACACAACAAACTATCGTCGCGAGACAATAAACACTGGCAATC